CTCTCTCTCTCTCTCTCTCTCTCTCTCTCTCTCTCTCTCTCTCTCTCTCTCTCTCCTCCTCTCTCTCTCTCTCTTTCCCTCTCTCTATCACTTTGCCCGCTTGCATGCCCTCTATCTCTATATCTCTAGACAGGTGTTAATAATGTTAACATAATAGTTATATTGAGTTGTCCAACATCTGAGAATTTCAACGTTATATCCAGAAAAACAATTCCAACATCACTGGAAATTCAAACCCATTTCAAATGAAAGTTCAGTTAAATTACTGAATACGGTTATTAGGTAACTATATTAAAAAGCTATGAAAACAATAAAATGCTGAAATAAAAATACAGCCTACCGTCTACAACAACAATGACGACTAAGCGTAGAGCTACTGCGAGAATATTTGGCAGGTTGCCAGCGAGCGACCCACCTTGAGCGTGCCGTCGTTGATGGAGCTTCCATATTCCGACACATCAGAGGGCACAGCGGGCAGACCCCTGCCTCCCCCTCCCCCTCCCTCGCTGCACGCCCTCCTCCCCTTGCCATCGATGAGGGTCTCCTCGGATCCTCCCCCGCAGCCGCCGGCGCCATCCGAGAATCCGATTCGCTTGACGATGCCGACCTCTATGTTCTCCAAGCCGCACTCACACATGATGAACCCCGCAATATCCTGTAAACACATAAACAAACACAAATAAACAATAAATAAATGTAAACAACAACCTGCACTCACACATGATGAACCCTGCAATATCCTGTAAACACATAAACAAACAACAAACAAACAATAAATAAATGTAAACAACAACCTGCACTCATACATGATGAAGCCGGCTATGTCCTGTAAACACATAAACAAACACACAAATAAACAATAAACAATAAACAATAAATAAATGTAAACAGCAAACCGCACTCACACATGATAAACCCTGCAATGTCCTGTAAACACAAACAACAAATAAACAATAAATAAACAACAAATAAATAAAACAAATTTAAACAATAAAATGACTTGGCCACACGATGGCGCTGCATACCTGCTCGGTGGCCTCACTGTCGACGTGCGAGCTCGCCGTGCCCCTGCTGCCCTCTCGTGGCAGCGGCACGCGCGGCGGAACGCGCTCGAATGTGAAGAGAACGCGAGACTTGTGCGGCGGGATGACCGTCAGCGCCGCCTGCTGGATCATCGCGACACTATTCCTCATGCGGCGAAGCTGAGCGTGTAACCTGCGGCAACGACCAACGACCATTAGGGGGGCGCTGCGTAGGGGGGCGGGTCGTGTTGAGGTGACGATCTCCAGGATTGGGATGCAAGCAATGTAATGCTTTACACCTACACCTACTACGTTCTGCTATGAACAATGGAATGAATAATATAGATGCACATAGTATATATATATATATATATATATATATATATTATATACATCGATGTTGAATTTGGACATGACCTCCACACCCATGGGAGCACGTGCGAGCCACCCACCTGCCCACGTTGACCTTGCAGGCGACCTCCAACCCCACACACACCCACCTGCCCACGTTGACCTTGCAGGCGACCTCCATGGTGCGTTTCTCGGCGCACGCGTCTGCGTATGCGCTCGTGTCGAGGCTAGTGGATCGATCTCGCTTCACCTTCCTGCAACCGTGGGCTGCAGCGGCGGTGGCGGCGGCGGCGGCGGACGGCTGCCGGGGGCTGTCCGCCCCACTCTGTATCGCTCGCTTAGAACTGACCTGTCCAGCAGTAACAATGTTGTTACGTGATGTGTGTTGTTGCTGGTGTTGTTGTTGTGTTGTTGTTCTTGTTGTTGCTGTTGTTGTTGTTGTTGCTGGTGTTGTTGTTGTTGTTGCTGTTGTTAATGTTGCTGTTGTTGTTGTTGCTGTTGTTAATGTTGTTGCTGTTGTTGTTAATGTTGTTGTTGTTGTTGTTGCTGTTGTATGTTCTGCTGTTACTGTGTGTTGCTACTATTTTATGATGTTGTTGTTGTTGTTGCTGTTCTGTGTTGTATTTAGCATAAACATTCGGGGAGTAATTGTGATGAATTGAACGTGCATTATTTTTGTGGTACTAGTTCCCAATTTTACATTAAAATGTAGTCTCTAGAAACGTGATTCATTTCTTTGGATTTGCACTTTTATAATATATACACATACTCTAATCACGATTATTTCACACGTGCAAGTAAGACTTGCACATGTAAACTAGTTGCAAGTAGTGACTCGCAAGTAGTTTGTAGCTATTAACGCGGTTATTTTCACACGTGCCAGAAAAAAAAAATAAAAAAAAAACAGTCACGTGCGCGGTAGCTTGCATCTACAGCAGCTATATAGCTACACAGACCTTGTTGAAGAACTGAGCGGAGATGGAGGTGAGAGCAACGCCGAGCAGGGACACGCACGTGACGTCCTTGATATGGTCGAGGGCTTGGAAAGAGATGATCTCCTCGACGATAGACGCCTGCAGTATGCAGATGTTCACCTGCAAAACACACAGTAAACATGTGCTAAACACGTAGTAAACACGTGATGAACACGTAGTAAACACGTGGTGAACACACGCATGGTTATACGTATCACCAGCATCCAAGTATTACCCTACGACACCATACCCATGACTCATGATTCAGACAACAAGCCCCAGTACGTGCACACAATATCATCCTCATGACTACAATACAGATATTTATAATCACGTATGAGCCATTAATTTTATGGCATTGTCAGTAGCTGAATGATATCACAGATATTTATAATCACGTATGATCCATTATATAGCATTGTCAGTCAGCTGGAATAATATTGACGATATTTCAGATAATCATGTATGCGAGTCCAACTCTCAGATGGCCTTCGTCCCAGCCTCAGCTCGAATCAGCATAATCTCCAGATCCCATTTATAGTCACCGATGTACTGAGTCGCCATCTAGGGCGACTTGTCAGTAGGCTCGAATCTGAATAATATTACAGATATTTATAATCACGTATCATCGACACTATGGCATTGTCAGTAGCACTATGACACGCGTGATCACCTGTGATAAGGAGACGAATGTTTGCATGACAGATGTCCGCACCTCCTCCGCGACCTCCCCTTCCTTCTCCTCCCCCGCCCTCCCTCCTCCTCCTCCTCCTCCTCCTCCTCCTCCTGCGCCTCGCTGCTCCTCCTGCGTGCGGTTCTGCGCGCGCACGCTGTCGCAGCAGCGATCGTGGATCTGATCAAGCAGCGTGCCGGGATGCAGCGTTGCCGTTGCCGGGGTAACCGCCTCCACGTAACTACAGCAGACGAGACGCGAGGGTGAGAACGGGACAGACGGTCGAGCGAGAGTCGAGATATATATGTGACGGGGGCGTTGCGCGCACGATCATCCAGGCCCCGTGTTACGAGTGATG